ACCAAGCCTCAGACAGGCTAAGTGTCCTGCCCAATTGGGATGTGAACCTGGTCTGTCTGATCCCAGAGTCAGCAGTCCTGACACTGCACATCCATCACTCCCTTTTCACATCAGAAACATCCAGCTCTAGTCTCTATGAGCACATAAAGAATGTATCTGAGATTGTTCTCAATGCTGGCCTAGACTCAGAAAAATCCTGCTCGTTCTGATCCAAGTAAGTAGGAGACTTACTTACTTTATGCTATATAGTGATATGCTACCTACAAGAAATAAACATTAAAGGCATAGACAAGTTTGAAATAAAAGCATGGTTCTGGCAATGCTAGAATAATAAATACCAGACTCATCCTGCCATACTATACAGCTAAGAAAATGAAATTGATGAAACGGTTATCAATTCAAGAGATCATGCCTGAGGGAGGAGAAACAAATGAGGTGAGCCCTATGAAAAAAAAATAGGTGGTGACAGAGATAGAGAACGTCCTTCTCATGCACATCAGTGGACTCCACACAGTAGAGGAAAGGAACAACGAACTTAAGACAGCATAATAGAAATTATTCAAACTAAACACAAGGAGGAAGGGGCAGGAGAGGGGGAGGGGGAGGAAGGGAAGGAGAAGGGGAGGAAAAGGAGGAGGAGGGGAGGGAGAGGAGTGGGAGAGGAGGAGAAGGGGCCGGGGAGGAGTGGGAAAAGAGGAGGAGGGAAGGAGGAAGAAGTGGAAAAGAGGAGAGGAGAGGGGGAAGGGGAAAAGAAGGAGGGGAAAGGCGGGGTAGGAGGGCAACAATGATGACAATGATGTTTTTAAAACCCTTGGAACAATATAAATAATCTAACACACATGTGACTGGAATCTCAGAAGGAAAAAGAGGGAACAATAACAGTGGAAGATATATTTGCCGAGTCAATGGCTGAGAATTTTACAAAACTAATCAAAGACATCAACTCACAAATCCAAGAAGATAAGAGAACCCCAAGCAGGATTTTAAAGACACATAATATTTAAACTACTAAAAAATAAAGAGAGGCCGGGCGCGGTGGCTCACGCCTGTAATCCCAGCACTTTGGGAGGCCGAGGCGGGTGGATCACGAGGTCAGGAGATCGAGACTATCCTGGCTAAGACGGTGAAACCCTGTCTCTACTGAAAATACAAAAAATTAGCCGGGCGTGGTGGCGGGCGCCTGTAGTCCCAGCTACTCAGAGGCTGAGGCAGGAGAATGGCGTGAACTCGGGCGGCAGAGCTTGCGGTGAGCCAAGATCGCACCACTGCACTCCAGCCTGGGCAACAGAGCGAGACTCCGTCTCAATAAATAAATAAATAAATAAAATAAAGAGAAAGAGAACATATTTAAGGGCAGCCCAAGAAACTAAAGAGCAAAGTTAAGAATGACAGCAGATTTCTCATCAGAAACGACATAATCTAGAGGACAGTGAAGTGTCATCTTTAAAGTGCTGAGAGATAAATAACTGTCAGCACAGACTTCTACCCCAGGGAAAAATATCTTTCGTAAGTGAAAGTAATTTTTTCATTTCAGAAAAACAAAATCTGAGATGAATAATTATCAGTAGACTCGTGCTACAATAAATTAAAGGAACTTTTTCAGGTAGAAGGAACATGAAACCAGACAGAAACTTGGTTCTATACACAGAAACGAAGAGCTCTGGAAATTGTTCAAACGAAGGTTTGTACGAAAGAACTTTTAAATCACTCTAAAAATATTTAATGTCTAAAGCAAGCTTGTCCAACCCATGGCCCACAGGCCACATGCAGCCCAGGGTGGCTTTGAATGTGGCCCAACACAAATTTGTAAACTTTCTTAAAACATGATCAGATATTTTTTGTGATTTTTTTTTTTTCTAGCTCATCAGCTATGATTAGCGTTAGTGTATTTTATGTGTGGCCCAAGACAATTCTTCTTCCAATGTGGCCCAGAGAAGTCAAAAGATTGGACACCCCTGGTCTACAGCAAAAATAGAAGCAAAGGATTATGGATTCAGAAGTACATGTATGACAATAATATACAAAAGATGGGAGGAAGAAATTGGAACTATGAAATTCTTACATTATCCATGCATGATATCTTATTTGTAGGTAGATGGTGAAAAATTAAAGATGGATGTATACTGTAAACCCTAGGATAGCCAAAGAAATATCATTAACTGTTCAATACAAATACAATTATTTGGAAAAACAGGTCTAAAAATAACAATACTGGCCAGGCGCAGTGGCTCATGCCTGTGTTCCCAACACTTCGGGAGGCTGAGGTGGACGGATCACTTGGGGTCAGGAGTTCGCAACCAGACTGACCAATATGGCAAAAACCCATCTCCATTAAAAATACAAAAATTAGCCAGGCATGGTGGGCACCTGTAATCCCAGCTACTCAGGAGGCTGAGGCAGAAGAATCGCTGGAACCCAGGAGGCGGAGGTTGCAGTGAGTCGAGACTGCACCATTGCACTCCAGCCTGGGTGACAGAGCAAGACTCCATATCAAATACTACTACTAATAATAAAATACTGAAATAACAAAAATGCAAATACAATAACAATGTATTGTGGCATTTGTAATACATGTAGAAGTGAAATGTATGAAAAAATAGCAGGAAGGTAAGGGTGGAAGAAATGTTTACTCTTCTCTCTTCGACCAACTAACCACACCTGTAAAATGAGAAGAAAGTCTATGTCATAGGGTTATGAAAAGAACTAAATGACTTCACACATGTACAGTACCAAGCCTGGCGCTTGATGTGTGGTGAGTGCTTGGTAAATATTTGTTAAATGGACAAGTGAAGTGTTTGGTGTCATATATTCATTCACTATAAGAGAGTCAGGATTTCTCCCTAAAAAGCTGAACGTAGATTTCCTATATGGGGCTCACCAGGAAGTTGGTTAACTGCCAACAAGCGTTGTGTCTTCAAGCCCTAGTCTGGAAAACAGTCCATCATCCAATTTTACCTCCCAAGACTCGGTTCCTTCCCAGGAGCTTGTAAGTGAGGCAGACAGAGTTTAGTTAGTAATGGCAGTCAGGAAAAATAAACTTGCCTAGAGAAAGGGACAAAGAGAACCACAAATAGCTTATGTCGGGAAAAGGAATGTTTTCATCTCCTCGACATCTGTAATGCACATTTATCCTGTGATGAGCAATTGCACTTCTGTGTCTGACCTTGGGAAGACCCTGGAAAGTCTGGCCGGTTTGAAGACAAATGTATAAACCACACGCAAATTTCACAGCAAACCAGCCAGTAAATATTCTCCAAACTGCCCTTGACATGTAAATGTTACCATGAATCTTAATGGCTTTACGCCCAAATCTTAGGCCTAGGAGCAGTCAGTAAAGTCCATGGAAAGATGTTCAAACGGGCTGTTGGTCAACGGAATGGCCCATTTTCCACTTTGCGTCGGAGAAACGTGATCCTGCTTGGATAGAAAGGGAGTTTGTGTGAGCAAAGGAGGTGTGTGGGAAAGCCCGGGGCATGGCGGGGAGGAGCAGGTCAGTCTTGGAGGCTGGCATGTTGGACACTCCATGCCCTTGATGCCATTTTGCTCTAGCAATTTCTGCACCAACCAGCTGTGCACAGGTATAGCCAACACCCTGCCTATCTGCACCATGTATATCTTGCTTTCAGCCCAGCCTCTCTGCCACTGCCTCATGGGACCTGCAGAAGCCATCCAGCTACAGAAATGCAAGGACACGTCACCCTGTGGGACAGCCCACAACAGTGTGGGCAGACAGCAGTAACCCCTGTCGAGTTTCCTAGGTGCAGCCTGCACACATCCTCAGAAAGCCCAACAGAACTGGGTCCCGACTGCCCGCCAGGGCGAGCGGCAGCCCTGACTGGAGTTGATTCTCCTCGTGCCACTTACCCAAAGGGAGCATCTTGCTGGATGAAACCAACTTGTGGAACTTACCAAATTTGATAATTTACCAAAAATGTGCAAATTTTAGCTCGTTAAAATGTGTATAGTAATTTATATTGGATGGGATGGTTTTGATAGATTTTGAAGATTTCTGCAAAGCTCTAAGTAACTGGGTTTTTTGGGGGGTGGGGCTTATTTTTGAGACAGGGTCTCACTTTGTCACCCAAGCTAGAGTGCAGTGGCGCGATCACGGCTCATGGCAGGCTTGACCTCCCAGGTTCAAGAGATCTTCCTCAGCCTCCTGAATAGCTAGGACTACAGGCGTGTGCCACCATGCCCGACTAATTTTTTAATTTTTATAGAGATGGGGTCTCACTATGTTGACCAGGCTGGTCTCAAACTTCCAGGCTCAAGTGATCTGCCCTCCTTGGCCTTCCAAAGTGCTGGGATTGCAGGCATGAGCCACTGCACCTGGCCCCTAAGTAACTGATTCTCATTTTGTCTTCATAATAGCATTTCCTCAGCAAAAGGAGAAAGGTATACAGGAGACTTGGCACACACAGTGGCCTGGGCTGCTGATGCTGGGAGGGGCAGTGGGAGACAAAGTGAGGTGGTATAGGGAGGAGGGTGTGCTGCGCCCACCCCCTGCCGCCATCCTCTTGCCCTAACAACTCTGCAAGGTTGAACGCCCTGCTCTGGTCGCTGCCGGCTTTAGGCATCAGCTCCAATTCCTGATGGCTCTGGGGGCTTCTATAGCCTTCTCTATAAAGAGGGACGGCAGCATCTGGGGGCTATCCTGGAGGCTGGCCACCACGACATGTCTGAGATCAGTTCCCAAAGACACCATCCCATCTGGTAACACAGATGGGAGCATCTACATCTTCCTCTGGTGCATCTTCAAGTGTGGCTGCCATCCATTAGAATCAAGAGCTGAGATGGCAGCTCCTGAAAAGGATGGGAAGGCTGTGACCTCATAGTTCATGGACGAGGTTGTTGTGTATGTTTCTCACCAGCTGCAAGACAACTGGTGGGAAAATGCTCAAGGCATTAACACTTCCCTAAGGTGAGCACAGTCATTTCAGCACATTAGCAGGCTGGACTCATGCATTTCAGAAACGCAAGCGAGAACCAGAGCCGGGAGGTCAAGATGGCAAGTCGTTTCAGATGGTCTTAAATTTTATTTAAAAAGGAAGAATGCAGGATTGCACAAACAGGGGCTTTCTGTGCCAGACCTGGTCGTAATCAGCTTCTCTCTCACCTGGGAGGACAAAAGTAAAATAGATGTTTGGAAATCCCAAGAAACGTATTTAGAGTGGTTGAAGGTGGGGTGGGTGGGAAGGAAAGTAACTATTTCCATAGAAAAGAAATGATGACATGATAATCTTTTCATTTTTCATCTTTTCACTGTTTCCAGAGGTAGAAAATTACAGCCTCTTGGCTTCCTTCCAAGCAAGCCCTTGGAACCAGGACCCTAAGGGACCCCAGGGATCTGGAAGGAAGTCACAGTGACTTGGGTAGCAAAGGGCAGTTCCAGGGCTCCGGCTGTCCCAGGCCCTGCACATTTCACATCTACGCTGTGAGAGTGCAGTGAACCAAGATCACACCACTGCACTCCAGCCTGGGCAACAGAGCGAGACTCTGTCTCAAAAAAAATAGAAAAAAAAAAGAAAACACAAGTGCAAGTCCCTGTGATCTTGAATCCAGCAATGGTTTCTTAGCTATAAGCATACGACCTAAAGTCCATGCAACCTAGGAAAAAATAAACTGTGTTTCACAAAAATTTAAAACCCACGTCTACTTCAAAGGACATCATCAAGAAAATGGGTCTAGTATCCAGAATATACACAGAATACTTACAACTCAATAATAAAAAGTTGGACAGACAACTCAATTAAAATGTAGACAAAAGGCCAGGCATGGTGACTCATGCCTGTAATCCTAGCACTGTGGGAGGCAGAGGCAGGAAGATCGTTTGAGCCCAGTAGTTCAAGACCAGTCTAGGCAATAAAGCGAGACCCCGTCTCCACAAAAATAAAAAAAAACCTATTAATAGCCGGGTATGGTGGTATGTGCCTGTGTTCCCAACCACATGAGAGGCTGAAGCAGGAGGATTCCTTGAGCCCAGGAGGCCAAGGCTATGGTGAGTTACGACTGCACCACTGCACTCCAGCCTGGGTGACAGAGTGAGACCCTGTCTAAAAACTACATATATGTGTGTAGGGGCACATCTATATATATATGTGTGTGTGTGTGTTTATGTGTGTGTGTATCTATGTATCTATATATAGACAAAGTATTTGAATAGACACTTCTCCAAAGAAGTTATACAAATGTCCAACAAGCACATGGAAAGACGTTCAACATCATTAGTTATTAGGAAAATGCAAATGGAAACCACAATGAGACACCACTCCATACCTGCTGGGATGGCTATCAGCAAAGTCACAGATGAAACAAGTGTCGTGAGGATGCAGGGAAATGGGAACCCTGGTGCACTGCTGGTGGGCATAGAAAATGGCACAGCTGCTGTGGACAAGAGCTGGGCAGTTCCTCAAAACATGAAACACGGAGTAACATATGATCCAGCAGTTCTGCTCAGTTCCTCAAAACATGAAACATGGAGTAACATATGATCCAGCAGTTCTGCTCAGTTCCTCAAAACATGAAACATGGAGTAACATATGATCCAGCAGTTCCGCTCAGTTCCTCAAAACATGAAAAATGGAGTAACATATGATCCAGCAGTTCCGCTCAGTTCCTCAAAACATGAAACATGGAGTAACTCTGCTCCCAGGCGTACACCCCAGATAAATGCAAACCTCTGTCCACACAAACACTTGCACGTAAATGTTCAAACCATATTATTCACAAAGTAGAATCACCGAAAAGCAGAAACAACCCAAAATTCAACCATCAAAAGAAATGACATACTGACATACGCCTCAACATGGATGAAGCTTAATGCCAAGTGAAAGAAGGCAGTCATAAAAGACCACTCATCGGATGACAGCATTGAGATGAAATGTCCCAGAACAGGCAAATCCAGAGACAGAAAGTAGATCAGAAGTCACCAGAGGTTGGGGGAGACGGGAAGGAGTGACTGCTTAATGGTATGGGACTTTTTGCAGTGAATGTTCTAGAATGAACGGTGATGGTTGCACAACACTGTAAATATATTAAAAACCACTGAATTGTATACTCTAAGAGTGAATTTTATGACACGTAAAAGAGAGCTCAGATTTTAAAATTCAATTCACATATACAATGTTCTGCTACTTAAAGTGAGACCCACCTGACACAGGTGCTGATACCATTTTCGGACCCTTGTCCAGTGGATCTGCTGTCCCTGAAGAGACACTCGGAAATGGCTGCCCTCCCCCAGGGACACGGAGATGGGGACAAGTCCCCCCTTAATGAAGGGAAATCAGAGGATATCATTTAAGAGGTGGCCAGTTTAGAGTTTCACGAATAACATTTATTGACCACATTCATAACAGAATCTCACCCACATTCATATGAACGTCGCTACAACCAAGAATCACCTGATGAGAAATAATTTGGGTTGAATCCTGGGTGTGGATTCTGTTCTATGAGAAAACAGCGGCTGTCACAGACGCCTCCTGATTGGAGGACTCTCGTTAAAGATCTTGATTGTGACATATTTTTGTGGATATTCTTGACAGTAGCTGAAGATTCCAACTTCAAATCCCAAAAAACTGGCTGGAAAGCAAAGTGAGAGACAGTTACTAGGACCCGGCCCCAGGCTGAGACCAGCTGCCCTCAGCATGCCCTTGGGGAACCTCCAGGAGTGGAAGGCAAAGGCACTCCGCGGTGCACAGGGCTGGAGGAATCCCAGGCAGGAAAGGGGTGCGGGGACGAGGGGTGGGATGCAGTCCTGGCCACATCACTTTCCAGCTGTGGGACCAGGGCAAGGCATTCCACCTCTGAGTGCCCACTTCTTCTGAAAAGGGATGATAATGCTGGCTTTGCAGAACTGTAAAGGGAACAGGTGAAATGAAGGCAGGTCTCGCCCTGCTCTTGGGGGCTCCCTGCCGAGAGATCCTAAGTCCACTCTCTCCTTCCACCCCCAGCTGCTGCAGCACATCTCTCCAGGCCAGCAGACCGGCAGCTGAGGCTTCCCCTGAGATAAGCTGGGTGTGTGGCTTGCGGCACCTCACAGGGCACCCACACATCCCAGCCGGACAAGCTGTGCCCTCCCCTGGGATGCTGGTTGGTGCCTGTTCCGCTGCCCTGGCAGCTTGGCTCAGAAGCAGACACCTGCTATGGAAGCGTACGGACCACCAACACCACAGGGTGAGTGGCTTCCTGGGACTTTCTAGACAAGCTGTTGATGAGGATGGGAAAATATGGGGGCCTCCAAGTGCCAGGATTCGGGGGCTAGAAAAACAGGAAGCTGCACCGACATGCAGGTGGGTCTCCACCTGGACTGCACTTCTGGGGAACTTCAAAACAAAAGCATGCCCAGGCCCTCCCCAGAACAGTTACTCCAAATGTCTAGATGAAGCCCAGGCATCTTTCTCTTTTTCTTCCTCTCTCCTTCCTTCCATTCCTTCCATCTTACCAGGTAATTTGAGCTTGAGGCCAGGGTTCAGCAATTCCCTTTTGGGTTCCCGGACCATCTACTTAACATTGATCCTTTAAAATTGTTTCTTAAATTTATTTTAGAGATAAGATCTTGCTCTGTTGCCCAGGCTGGAGTGTACTGACACAATCAGCTCACTGCAACTGCAAACTCCTGGGCTCAAGCAATCTTTCCACCTCATCCTCCCAAGTAGCTGGGACCACAGCACCACAGTCAGCTAATTTTTTTATTTTGTATGGAGATGGGGTCTTGCTATATTGCCCAAGCTGGTCTTGAACTCCTGGGCTCAAGTGATCCTCCCACCATGGGCTCAAGCAATCTTCCCACCTCATTCTCCCAAGTAACTGGGACCACAGCATTACACTCAGCTAATTTTTTAATTTTGTATAGAGATGGGGTCTTGCTATGTTGCCCAAGCTGGTCTTGAACTCCTGGGCTCAAGTGATCCTCCCACCTTAGCCTCCCAAAGTGCTGGGATCCAGGTGTAGGCCACCACACCTTGCCCATCCTTTAAGGCTGGGATGCGGGTGTGGGCCACAGCACCCGGCCTCGCCCATCCTTGAAGGCCAAGTGTTCTTCTTTGCTCCTCCCAGTGTGGGTACAAAGGAGTCAAACAAAATGTGATCATCAAGTTGCCAAACACAAAAAGAAAGATAAATCCACAAGAAAAATGACAAAGGAAAGCTCTCACTGTTGCCCAGGTACTGCTTATGCTCGGAGACCACACAGAGCTCACTGTACCCGCTCCCAGCCCCCTTCCCCATGCATGGCCTGGAGAGGCTGGCGCCCAGGCCCACAAGGGACCCATACCTGATGCACATTACCTGATGCACATCACAGCCTCGACTGTGACTGCCCAGGGAGCGGGAGGTAATGTCCAACTCTATGAGAATGGATAACCCAAAAAACAGGGGAGGGGCTCCCACTCCCAGCCGTGGCAGAGTGACCAAGACCGGGCTAAGCTCCTGCTGTGAACAACTAGAAAATAGGGCAGGACACCTGGCAGCTATCTGCAGACACTGCACATTTTGAATCTTCCTCTTCCAATTGCGTGGAGGAGACAAGGAGCAAACAAGTAAATGCATGTAAATTCGATGGTGTGTGCACGTTTGTTCACAGGTCTCCACGTCCATGCAGGGTGACGCAGGCCTCCAGGCAGGAAGGAGCTGCAATGGGCAATGACGGGGAGGAGGAGGGGAGGAAGGCTTTGCAGAGGAGCCACTGCCTAGGCCGAGAGTAAATGGGGAGGAAGAAGCAACTGTTCCCTGAAGTCCTGCTGCGGCCTGGGGAGTGGCCCTGGAGACTTCCTGGGGGAGGGATCCCAGCAGAAAGCCATGGCTGTGAGCAGCAAGAGTGCCAGGGGAAAAACTCGAAGCCTAGGTGAGGCTAGGGACTAGAGACCAGGGAAAGGGGCTTTCTAGTACGGAGCCTGGTGGCTAGGGTTTGAGCTGGGGGTACAGGCAGGAGGTCCCTATACCTGAGGGGGTGCTCAGAGCTCAGAGGCTGGAGGGCGAGTGGCTGTTAAGATGCGCCATCGACCCCAACATAACAACGGAAATGTGTGGAAACTGGGACCCGTGTCCTGCTGGGAGCAGGGCCATTTTAGAACTTGGGAACAGAGAAGGGGTGGAAGTGCCCCACGAGGCCCCCGCCGCCCCCACGAGGCCCCCGCCGCCCCTACAAGGCCCCCGCCGCCCCCAGACTGCCCTGGCATCTCTAGGTGAGGCGGGGCAGAGCCTGTGCCGTGCAGAGTGCCACAGGACACACTCACAGCGCCCCGCCTCGGCTGCCTGTCAAGTTAACCCCTGCCCCTAACTCTCCCTCGGTCACCAAGCGTCCCTCAGGTGGACATCACCATGCCAGGGCCACCCGCTGTCCCCCATTCCCCACCTGCTCACCGAATGGCCACAATGACCCTCGGGATGGCCTGGAGGAGGGTCAGGAGGGCAAGGCGCAGCAGACACACTGGGCGAGCCGGTAGCTCGTCCTGGTCGGGGGCCTGGAGCTGCTGGCACTTGGGCAGCAGGCGCTCGTCACCGCAGATCCGCCAGCAGTTGTGCCAGGAGCATGCATCCAGCGGGGGTGCTAGGCACAGAAAAGGTGGGATGAGGACAGGGCGTGTTCCCCAGGACTCTGTGAGCCACAAGGAGGCTGCAACACCAGCCCTAGAGCCTCTGGGAAACGGGGACTTCCAGGGCCCAGCCACAGCCCCGGGGTGGGGACACTGATCCGGAGCTAACGAGATAAAGGCCATCTTGCGGGTTTATGATTTCCTGGGTAACACCGGCCTTGGGGCTGTTTTTCAAGAGGCTTTCTCTTTTAGAACCGCATATGGAACATGTACAACGTCTAACTAGGATTTGCTTCCAAATCATCTTTTTTGGAGCGGGAGTGGGTGGTGAAGATCAGAGGAACCACACTGGATAATGACTGGAGCTGAGTGATGCTGATTTAAGCCAATCTCCACTTCAGGGAGTATTTTAAATTTTCCATAATAAAAATTTAAGGAACGCCACAAGCACAGATGGAATTCTGGCATTTCCATTTCCCTGATGCTCTTCAGCACTTTCCACACGGGGTCTGGTCAGCACGTGATCCTCCAGATACCAGAGTTTGTTTTTATTTTTTATTACACTGTTAATATGCTACTAATATAAAATATATACTAATTATGTTAACATAAATATCATAAATATACTTTCCTTATGAAAAATTACGGCACAAAAACATAGAGGAGAAAAGCATCTAAGTCCGTCTTTAAAAGAAAAAATGTAAGATCAGAAACGTGAACTTTCTTGTTAAAATGGAAATCAGTCAGATTTGAGGCCAAAGAAAATGTCTCACAGTTTTAAATCACTCCCTACTGGAGGCCAAAGGGGAGAACGATCATAATTCTCTTGGCAGCAACAAGCCCTGCTCTCTTAACTCTGCTGGGAAATCTTCTGGCGTGAATGGGTTTGAGGCTTGAAACGTTACTTACATAAGTCACTTAAACTGCAAAGCAATGATTGGAGTAAAAATTAATGCTGTTTTTATTTTAAGTATCAGATACCAGATGATGCATGTCAACTAAGCTTTTAGCTTTTTTTAAAAGATGCAAAGTTTTCAAAGCCAAAAATATTTAATAAAAATAAACCCAAAAATGTGTGATTATACGGTTCGAAGAGCCGTAAGAGGTGAGCAGTTGGTTGGTGATTATTTGTTTCCCAAGCATTCCCCGACTCCTGCCTCCGGGGGTTCCACTCAAATCACTCACCTTTTCCAGGGACCCCAACCCCATTCATAGATTTACTCATTCATACATTCCATCAAAGCAAACCCACCGCAAAGAGTCGGCGCACCAAGGGAAGGACGTGATGCCAGCCCAGAAAACACAGACACGGCAGCCCTTCGCACCGGGAAACACCTTCAAGATCAAATCCAGCCCACTCCTTTTAGAGACAAAGAAAGTAATGGTGGGGGTGGAGGTCCTGATCTCCCCATATACTATGTCATGAGAGCAGAAATACACATATATGCCAGGTCACAGATAGATCAATCTACATACCAGGTCATAGACACAGAAAAACGTAAATATACTTAACTACGAATACATAAGGGGACTGTAAAAAGTTTGTAGAAGATGGAATTAAAAAATAAAAATAGGTCAGGCACAGTGGCTCACGCCTGTCATCCCAGCACTTTGGAAGGCTAAGGTGGGTGGATCACCTGAAGTCAGGAGTTCAAGACCAACCTGGCAGACGGTGAAACCCCATCTCTAATAAAAATACAAAAATCAGCTGGGTGTGGTGGTACACTCCTATAGTCCCAGCTACTCAGGAGGCTGAGGCAGGAGAATCGCTCGAACCCAGGAGGCGGAGGTTGTAGTGAGCCGAGATCACGCCATTGCACTCCAGCCTGGGTGACAGAATGATACTCCATCCCAAAACAAAATAAAAATAAAGAAATAAAAAATATCAAGTTTGTTTCTCAACATAAGCTCCACAAGGTCAAGACACTTTTGTCAGTGATGACACCAGCCGTTTAGTCCATCTTGAAAGAGCTGAGGGTCCTGGGAATTTAAACACATCAATGCAGTCTTTTATTACATTATTAACTGAAGACAATGGGTGCCCTTTAAAGATGTTTTAAGATTAGAAAACAAAGAAGACAGAAAGAGCCGAATCAGGACTGTAATTTGGCTGTAAGGTGGATGCCTAATAATTTCCCATCAAAACTCTCACAAACTTGCCCTTGTTTGACAAGAGGAATGAGCGGGAGCCTTGCTGTGGTAGAGAGGGACTCTGGTGGAGCTTTCCAGAGTGTTTTTCTGCTAGAGCGTTGGCTAACTTCCTCAAAACACTCCCATAATAATGTTGGCCGGACACAGTGGTTCAAGCCTGCAATCCCAGCACTTTGGGAGGCCAAGGCGGGAGGATCATGAGGTCAGGAGTTTGAGACCAGCCTGACCAACATGGTGAAACCCCGTCTCTACTAAAAATACAAAAATTAGCCAGGGGTGGTGGCGCACGCCTGTAATCCCAGCTACTCGGGAGGCTGAGGAAGGAGAATCACTTGAACCCAGGGGGCAGAAGTTGTGGTGAGCCCAGATTGTGCCACTGCACTCCAGCCTGGGCAACAGAGCGAGACTACATCTCAGTCAATCAATCAATCAATCAATAAGCAGATGTTATCATTCTTTGGCCCTCCAGAAAGTCAACCAGCAAAATGCCTTGAGCATTCCAAAAAACTGTTGCCATGACCTTTGCTCTTGTCCCACCCACTCTTATCATGATAAGACCACGTTCAGCCCTCGACAGCCATTGCTTTGGTTGTGCGTTGTCTTCAGGATGGTGCTGGCGATGCCATGTTTCATCTCCTATTACAATTCTTCAAAGAAATATTTTAGGATTTTGATCCCACTTCTTTAAAATTTCCACTGAAAGCTCTGTTCCTGTCTGCAGCTGGTCTGAACATAATGGGTTTGGTGCCCTCAGCGTGGAAGGTTTGCTCAACTTTGATTCTGCAGTCAGAATTGTGTAAGCTGAGCCAGTTGAGATGTCTGTGCTGTTGGCTAGTGTTTCTGCTGGTAATCATCAGTCCTCTTTATTTGGGGCATGAACAAGATGAATGTTTTTTCTCACAAACTGATGTGGATGGGCTGGCACTGCAGGCTGCACCTTCAACATCGCCTCATCCCTTCTTAAATGAGTCACCCATCTGGAAACTGCTGTTCTGTGGTGCATTGTCACCATAAACTTGTCATAAAGTATCAATGACTTTACCATTGTTCCACCCAAGCTTCACCATAAAGATGATGTTTGTTCTGGCTTCAATCTTAGCAGAATTCATGCTGCTCTGAAAGGGACTCTTTTTATTTTTCTATTTTTTTTTTTTTTTTTTTTTTGAGACGGAGTCTTGCTCTGTCGCCTGGGCAGAGTGCAGTGGCCGGATCTCAGCTCACTGCAAGCTCCGCCTCCCAGGTTTACGCCATTCTCCTGCCTCAGCCTCCCGAGTAGCTGGGACTACAGGCGCCCGCCACCTCGCCCGGCTAGTTTTTTGTATTTTTTTAGTAGAGACAGGGTTTCACCGCGTTAGCCAGGATGGTCTCGATCTCCTGACCTCGTGATCCGCCCGTCTCGGCCTCCCAAAGTGCTGGGATTACAGGCTTGAGCCACCGCGCCCGGCCAGGGACTCTTTTTAAACTGATGTCTTCTCCTTCTCAGCACCTCAAACTAGACCCTGTTCAGATATGTTATAATAAGTTAATATGAGTTTAGTCTGGTGCAAAAAAAATTGAAATCCATACATTGTTTCATTGCTTTTTTAATTATATACATTTTCTTTTTCTTTTTTTTTTTTTTTTTTTTTGGAGACAGAGTCTTACTCTGTTGCCCAGCCTAGAGTGCAATGGTATGATCTCAGCTCACTGCAACCTCTGCCTCCCGGGTTCAAGCAATTCTCATGCCTCAGCCTCCCAAGTAGCTGGGACTACAGACATGTGCCACCACGCCCAGCTAACTTTTTGTATTTTAGTAGAGACAAGGTTTCACTATGCTGCCCAGGCTGGTCTCAAACTCCTGAGCTCAGGCAATCCAGTCTCCTCAGCCTCCCAAAGTGCTAGGATTACAGGTGTGAGCCACAGCACCTGGTATATTATATGCATTTCCCATAAACTTTTTCAAGGCCCCTCATATGAATACATATTGTATTGTGACTACATGAATGTGAGTATATACTACGACTATCATGAACATGTGAATGTATATACACCAGGTCACAAATGTATGAATGTATGAGCATACTATGTAATGAATAGAGACGTAAGTTTTGTGTTTTGAATATACAATGTGCCATGAATATATGAATGTATGAGGATATAATAGGATATATATAGGAATATGTACTATGTCATAAATATATATACACACACATACTATGTCATAAATTATAGAAGATTAGAGCTTAATAAAACCACTTTAGGTCTCATCTAAGCCCAGGCTGGGAGTTGGCTTCATCCGGAGAGCCGCTGCTGGCAGATGGGTAGGGTCTGCTGTAGAGCAGAGGTTTCTCTGGGCTCACTGGGGGAAGGTAGTGGGTGACAAGGGATGGCTGTTGAGCAGGGGAGGGAAGCCACATGCATGTCACTGTTACACTATGGGCAGGTGTCTGGGGATGAGAGGTTCCCCCGCCATACACCATGATGCTCACGAACCCCGCCTTTCTGGGGAGAGGGATGACATGAGACACACGCACACTGGAGTTACCTTGGATGCCTTTCAAACTCTCCTGCCTCCTGACCATCTAAAAGACAAGAATGGAGGCAAGCAGTCAGCCTGGTGACCCTCCAAGGGGGGAGAGCCTGGTGATTGGGACTCCAAACCTCCAGGAGGGGTGCTGGCTGCCTCAAGATAAAAGCCCTGGGCTCCTCCTTATGAGGCCTGCAGGCTCTTTTCTCTGAGGACAGCCTGCCACCCAATGATGGAAAACCAGCAACTGGAAGTCAGGGGGAAGGAAGGAAGCTCTTGTCTACCACCCAGGACACGGGGAAAGCAGGGGAGTGAGAGGCCCAGGGGGCTAGGAAGAGGCCTGCTGCCGCTGCCCAGAACTAGTGCTGTGGAGGCAGCCAGCAAGAGCAGAGAGGACAGGCCATCTGGTGGTGGTCCATCCGGGGCACCCTCCTTCTCACCTCCCTCTATGCAGCCAGGGCCAGAAGAGAGAGTCAGAGGAGGGGCCCGGCCAGGGAAGGGAGGTGGTGTGAGAAGGAGGAGGCAGGGAGGTGAGAGAGGTCGAGGAGAATGCAGAGTGGGAGGAAGACAGGGAGGAAAGCAGCAGCAGCAGCAGTGAGGGCCAGAACAATCAGCCCTCTGCAGAAAGCAGCGCGGCCCTGCCCTTCCAGTGCCAACTGGGAGACGGAGCTGGCCTCCCTGAGCCACACCTGCCCTCTGTGCTCCCAGGCCCATGGCCACAACTGCCAGGGGATCTTCTCTGGACACCACAGTGGGAGACTGAGCCGGCTTCCCTAAGCCACACCTGCCCTCTGTGCTCCCAGGCCCATGGCCACAATTGCCAGGGGATCTTCTCTGGACACCACAGAGGCCTCTGTGGGAGCAGAGCCCAGGTACCCCTCTTCCCCTTCTTCCTCCCGTCTCCCCTTTTCCCGGCCCCCACCTCACTCTTCAGTCCTCACTGCAGTGTGCGCCTCCTCCTTACCTGCTGCTGAGACCTCAGAACCTGGGGCACCCAGTAGGGCATCACTGCCTGGTCCCTAGGCATCGGGAGGCGGCCCCCAAAGCGATGGCATAGGCAGGGGCACATCTTGGTGGTTTGGGGGATATAAAACTGAACCATCTTTTGACTCTAACAGAGAGGATGGGAGGAGAAGATTCAGAAGGGGATGGAGCCACTCCTGCCCCCAGCGACTCCCTGATGGAGCCATTCCCCAGAAGCGACTCCCTGATGGAGCCATTCCCCAGAAGACTCCTGGCTCGGTCTTAGTATCAGGGCAGGCCCTGGAGAGCTGTTCCCACCCACAAGCACACCCAACCACTCCAGATAAGGGACTGTGGTCTACCGTCTACAACATGTCCATTGTTGGGAGACACGGGACCTCCGTGGCTCACCTGGCTTCCCTACGCCTCATCTGCACCTGTGCCCTGGCAGAGCACGCAGGTTGGTATTGGAAGACCTGGCTCTGTCCTGGCCTGGTGGTCTCCAGCTGGGGCCCTTGGGCATGACACTTAGCATCCCTGTGCCTCGGTGCTCTCAGCTATGAAGAGGGCTCTGCTGGCATCTTAACAAAGTCTATCAGGTTCTAAAACAGACAGCCTTTGATGCGGCAATTCCACTTGCAGGAATGTTTCCTATGAGGATGCTTTCACATCTGCAAAGTTACTATGTATAGAAATATTCGCTGCACCATTATCAGGAGTGACTGGACAGTCTGAATGTCTTTCAGTAAGAGACAATAAATGACAGACATCGGGCAATAGGATATAGACAGCCTTGGGAAGAATGGAACAGAGCTGTCTGGACTGACATGGAATAAACTCTGAGACAGGATGTAAAGTGAGGAAAATGCAGCACTGTGAGTTCAGTACACTACCATTTGCATTTTTCAAAAAAGAATGTGCACACAATCGTATGTATGTGAATTATAGCAAATGACACTCTTGCCTCAGTTCCTCACCCTCCCTACAGCCCACCCTTGGCACTGTGACCCTGCAGCCTCTCCAGCGGAAAGACAGGGTGGTCCCACCTCTCAGCTGCGGGTTCGACCAGGCATATGGTTTGGGCAACAGGATGAGGAGGAGGTTACAGCAGAAGGAGGAGTTACAGCCCTGCACGTAGTGGTAGGGGCTATCAGACATGGGGGAAGGCCGGGAGCAGTGGCTCATGCCAGTAATCCCAGCATTTTGGGAGGCCAAGGCAGGTGGATCACTTAAGGTCAGGAGTTCGAGACCAGACTGGTCAATATGGTGAAACCCCATCTCTACTAAAAATACAAAAATTAGCCAGGAGTGGTGGCAGGCATCTGCAACCCAGCTACCTGGGAGACTAAGGCAAGATAATCACTTGAACCTGGGAGACAGAGGTTGTAGTGAACCAAAATCATGCCACTGCACTCCAGCCTGGGCGGCAGAGTGAGATTCCATCTCAAAAAAAAAAAAAAAAAAGAAAAGAAAAGAAAAGAAAAACAAAAACTGAATGCCATCCCTCATAAGCAGGGTAAGAATGTCTCCTCACTGCTCTATTCAACACTGTAGTGAAAGGTCTAGCCAGTGTATTAAGCAAGAAAAATAAAAGTCTCCAAATTGAAAAGGGAGAAAGAAAGCCATCTCTACTTGCAGATGACACAATCATCTGTGTAGAATATCTGATGGAATCCACAAAAAGAGCTACTATAATAAATAAGATTAGCAATATTGTAGAATACAAGAACAACAGACAAACATCAGTTGTACTTCTAAATACCAGCAATGCAAAGTCATACATTGAAATTCAAAAACAATGTCATCAAAATTATGAAATACTTATGGGTAAATCTGACAAAAAAATATATAAAGCCTATATAATAAAAGTTGCAAAATATTTCTGGGAAATATTAAAGAAAACCTAAATACATGTAGAAATGTATCATGTTTATGGGTCAAAAGACTCAATATTTTTCACAAGACAATTCTCTTCAAACTGATCTACAAAGCCCATACAGTGCCAATCAAAATCCCAGTAGGGTGCTTTTGCAGAAATTGACAAACTGATTGTAAAATTCACAAGGAAATGCAAATATATATATATATATATCCAACTCTGAAAAACAAAGCTTGAAAATGAGCCCTACTTGATTTCCAGACATTATAAAGTCAAGACACAATAATCAAGACAGTGTAGTATTAGCATAAAGATAGACAATTAGATCAGAAGAGGGTTCAGAAATAAATTCATAGATATATGAACAACTGTCTTAGTTCACTTGTGTGGCTATAAAGGAATACCTGAGGCAGTGTATTTTATTAAGAAAAGAGGCTTGGCCAGGTGTGGTGGTGGCTCATGCCTGTAATCCCAGCACTTTGGGAGGCCAAGGCAGGTGGATCACTTGAAGTCAGAAGTTTGAGAGTAGCCTGGCCAACATGGCGAAACCCCATCTCTACTAAAAATATAAAAATTAGCCGGGCATGGTGGCGAGTGCCTGTAATCCCAACTACTCAGGGGTCTGAGGTAGGAGGCAGAGGACTCACTTGAACCTGGGAGGCGGAGGTTGCAGGGAGCTGAAATCGATCATGCCACTGCACTCCAGTGTAGACGACAGAGCAAGACTCCGTCTCAAAAAAAAAAAGAAAAAGAAAAGAAAAGAGGTTTATCTGGTTCACGATTCTGATGGCTGGAAAGTTCAAGATTGGGAGTCTGCTTCCTCTCATGGTGGAAGGTGAAGGGGAGCCCACATATGTTGAGATCACATACGAGAGAGGAAGCCAGAAAGAGGGGAGGAGATGCCAGGCTCTTTTTAACAACCAGCTCTCTTGGGAACTAGAAGAGAGAGAACTGAGTCACCACCATAAGGACAGCACCAATCCACGCAGGAGGGACCTGTCCCCCGTGACCCAAATACCTCCAACACTGGGGATCCCTAGCTCCAACACTGGAGATCAAATTTTATCATCAGGTTTGAGGGGACAAACATCTAAACTACAGCAACAACTAATCTTTGACAAAGGTATAAAGGCAGGTCAGTAGAGAAAATACAGCCCTTACAATAGATGGTGCTAGAAAAATTAGACTGTCATATGCAAACAAACCCAATTCAAGGCTGGGCACGGTGGCTCATGCCTGTAATCCCAGCACTTTGGGAGGCTGAGGTGGGCGGATCACCTGAGATCAGGAGTTCAAGATCAGCCTGGCCAACATGGTGAAACCCTGTCTCTACTAAAAATACAAAAAATTAGCCAGGCATGGTGGTGTGTGCTTGTAGTCCCAGCTACTTGGGAGGCTGAGGCAGAAGAATCGCTTGAATCTGGGAGGTGGAGGTAGAAGTAGAAACAACCCAAATGTCCTTCTGGGTGAGTGAATAGACTGTGATCTATTCATATAATGCAGCATTACTCAGTAATAAAAAGAATGACCAAGATCATGCCCCTGCACTCCAGCCTGGGCGAAACAGCAAGACTCTATCTCCAAAAAAAGAAATTAAATCCATACCTCACACTATATACAAAAATTAACTCAAAATGGATCACAGAAATAAACATAAAATTATAAAACTTCTAAAAGGAAACATAAGAAAAAACCTTTTCTGACCTCTGGCTCAGCAAAGATCTGTTAACTACGACACCTGAAGCATGATCCACTGCTGTGCTGGGGATAGGCACATCTAGGCAAGATCCAGAAAACATGGAAATTGATAAACTGAACTTCACCAAAAGGTAAAACTTCTCTCTCTCTGAAAGATACTGATAAGAGAATAAAAAGACAAGCCAGGTCAGGTGTGGTGGCTCGCACCCTGATCCCAGTACACTGGGAGGCCGACACAGGTGGCTCACTTGAGCCCAGGAGTTTGAGACTAGCCAGGGCAACAAAGTGAGACCTCATCTCCATAAAAAATAAACAAAATTAGCCTTGTATGGTGGTGCACACCTGCGGTTCCAGTTACTTGAAGGGCTGAGGCGGGAGGATTGCTTGAGCTGGGGAGTTCAAGTTTGTAGTGAGCCAAGATTGTGCACTCCATTCTGGGCAACAGAGTGAGACCCAGTCTCAGAAAAAAAAAAAAAAGACAGGCCAAAGACATGGAAAGATATTTAAAAATTGAATCTCAGATCAATAATTTGCATCTAGAATATATAAAGAACTATCAAAACTCAGTAATTTAAAAAAGCAATTCTTATAAAGGGGCAAAACAATTAAACAGATGCTTCATCGAGTAAGACATCAGATATCAAAAGCACATGAAGAGATCCTTGACATCACCAATTATGATGGGTATACAAATGAAAACTATAATGAGATAGACACCTATTAAGACGGCTCAAATTAAAAGATCAGCCAAACCAAGTGTTGGTGACAATATGGAGGAATTGGAACTTTAGATACTGCTGGTAGAAATGTAAAATGGTGGAAAACAGTCAACAGACTTCTTTTTTAAAGTTAAATATACAACTACCATATGATTCAGGAATTCCACTCCTTGGTATTTACCCAAGAAGAATGAAGGCATATGTGCGTACAAAGCCTTGTACACAAATGTTCATAGCAGCTTTGTGTGTAACACATAAGAAGTAGAAACAACCCAAATGTCCTTCTGGGTGAATGAATAAACCGTGGTCTATTCACATAATGCAGCATTACTCAATAATAAAAAGAATGACTATTGATGCCCATGATTACGTAGAAGAATCTCAAAATAATTATGCTAAGTGAAAGAAGCCAGACGAAAGAGTACACAGTCTATGACCTCATTTATATAAAATTCTCAGAAATGCAAATTAATCTACAGTGACAGAAAGCAGGTCAGTGTTTGCCTGGGGATGTCAGGGTACAGAATGTTGGGTAAAGTTAAAAGGAGCCCACGGACATGGTTAAGGGTTGTGTATATGCTCATTATCTTGATGGTGGTGGTGGGTTCAGGGGGGAATACCTATGGCAAGACTTACCAGATGGTACATTTTCCACACATGCAGTTTATCATATGCCAATCAACCCTCTAAAAGTCTAGTTTTTAGAAAAAACTGTTTAAAAATCACAGATCCTTTTACAGTTCATAAGTATGATAACTGGGCACTCACGCACATGTATGAGGTGTGCCTCCCTCAGGCCTTGCTACGATGTCAGCACATTACCCATCTGACATGAAAATAAATAAATAATATCAAACTGTCTTCTTGAAATGTTAAAATATCCATTCATATAATACTTCTAATTCTGAGGGGTGACTGGTCCCCTGACATTCACCCTGGACCCTAGGTGAAGACCTCCTGGTTCAAGTTACCTACCTGCTTTCGGGGTCTCAGGGACAGAGGGACCCAGTAAGGCAGTGCTGCTTCCACCCTGGGCACAGGTAGGCGGCCCCCGAATCTGGTCTGGCACTCACAGCAGACGGCCCAGGGGCCAGGGTGCATCTGAGTAAGATCCAGAAACAACAGAACTGAGTTTGATGCTGCATTTGCAGGGATACAGGAGGCTCTCAGGCACAGTAGATCCGTGCTCAGGAAGATGGTGTCCGGGGGCAGGGTCCCTGGCTCCTACTGCAGCTTGGAAAGAGGCAGGCTACCATGGCTTGCCCTGAGGCCTCCAAGGTCATTTGGAGGGGGATCTGCCAGAGCTTGCAAACCAGGTGCACTGGGATTCTCGGCCATTTACTGCCATGCTACAATGAGCAAGTCTCATGGTCCCCTCTGAAAATGGGGATGTACAAGCAGCTTTAGAGCTTATGGGCCCATGAGTACTGCCTTTATGGCCATCTGTCTCACTCTGGTCTGCAAGAGCTTCCACATCCATCCCGTGTGACCTTCGCAACACCCTCAGGCAGGAAGGAGAGGGGCTGCCATCACCTCCAGGGGCAGACGGAGAAGCTGATGCCCAGAGCAGGTACATTTGGTGGCCTCCTGAACTCTGAGGTGTTGTGACAGCCTGGCAGGTGTTCTGGAGGCCCAGGGATAGCTCCTGCAACCACACTTTTGTGTTTGGAGCATTCTCTCATGGGATGCAGCTTCTGGACCCACATTCTCTGCTCTCCTCACCCCACAGGGGCATGTTGGGGTCACGGCCAAGTGGCTGAGGATTTGCTTTCCTTACCGAATGACCTGGGAGGCACACTTCTTTCTTGTAGGTTTGAAATGGGCTATTCCTAGAAAAGAAGAACAGAAAAGCTTAGGGTTTGTGTAAACTAGGGGGCAGGGATGCTAGGGCACAGGCCTGGGCCTGCCTTCTCAGAACTGACTCTTAACAGTAAAGCCCAGGGGTGGAGGGGACAGGGGAGGATCCTCTGAGCCCAAGAAGAGTGAGGGTGACATCAGAAGCAGGTGTGTGCTTGCTCACGCGTTCATGTCTAGGGGATCCTGGGGGCTGGCTGTCATGGAATCTTGCATTCCCAAGCCAACCAACTTCAAGCTGACTCCAGCTAAACTTGTGCTTGGACCATCAGAAAAGATGGGAGCATTCCAACCTGGTGAGAACCTTCCTAGACATGGAGCTGCCAATCACATCACCTAGGATGGTTTGTCAGACATCCCCAACTTACTGAAATACTGAAGGAAAACATCGTCAAACTGTCCATTAACAAACCTCCTTCTACTATAAAAAACCAGGCGCTTTGTCTCTGGGATGACAAAGCATTTGGGGTTACACAGCCTGTGTTACTCTTCCCTGTTCCACCCCACAACAAACTGCTTGAATGTTGGCCGATAAAGCGTCTCCAGTGGGTGCAAAGCCCTGCTTCCCTGACAGTGGTGGATCAAAGTGCTTTGTACTGTGGAAACCGTAAGAGTGATACAAGTGTTTTCAGGTTTCATTGTCATAATAACCGTTATTATTAGTGCTGTTTTTTGTTAGAGTAATAGATTCAAGCATCAACTCTCCCAGCTAATGCTTGAAAACAGAGGATAGGGGCATTGCCCTCCACAGCATCCAAGGCCCCTTCTGGTAAAGACAGCACTGCTATATTCCTGGTAGGGGAGGGGGCCCACACCCATCTCAGGTAGTTCAGGTGGGCCCAACTCACCACTGCCCAGCCTGGAAGGCTGGGGAAAAAAGAAACTCCTTTCTGTTGAGGTTGATAATCTGATAACATGTAAACCTCAGGAGGTCCTGGTGATCATCTTGCCTTCGCAAGGAAGCCAGTAAAAGGGAAGGAAGCTGAAAAATGGAGAGAAACCTTCCAGGACCATGGTCAGTGCGTACCTGGATACATCCATGCCTGAAGCCCTACTTCTGATATTTTCAGTTATGTGGAACCATCAGTTGCGTTTTTGTGCTTATGCCAATGTGAGGTGCCTGTGGGTCGCGGTCAAGAGTTCTGCCTACGTACAGGTAATGCAGCAATGCCGGGCCGGGAACTCACAGACGCGGTGTCGGGTGCCCGCGGGCAGGATTCAGGACGCACTTGCCTGCCATCCTGCGCGCCGGGTGTGAGTGCCAACCTGCAGAGCCCGACGCACCCCGCGCCCGGATCCCCGTCAGCAGCGCCCGAGGCTGCTCCAGTGGCCTCATGATGATGGTGAAAACGCCGCGGGGGCAGTGGGGACCGGCTCGCACGCGTATGGCTTCTTATGGCTGACGCGCCCTTTCACACACACATCGTCCGCAGGCCCTGACGCCCGGGCTCCCGCCTTTCCCTCCTGCCTCAGCCCGAAGCCAGCCCGAGACCAACCCAAACCTCAACATCAAACCCTCTGAGGAGCCCAACAGTCCCCGCGCGCCCGCCAGTCCCGCTGATTGGCCCGCGCCCAGCCAATCAAAAATGGCCTTCTGGGTATGTGAACTTAGCTGGCGGCTGATTGGTCCCTCGCGCAGAGACGCGGGGTCAGCGGGTCTAAGCGCGACTGTGTAGGGCTGCTATTCCCGCTGGGGTAGGTTCTGCAGACCCCGGCCCCTGGAGCCACTCACCATTTCCGACGGATGGGCCGGAGGGGCCGCCGGCTGCACCAGCCAGGGTCTCGGTACCCTGCAAGGAGAGAAAGAGGTGGGAGCAGCCTGCGCGGGGCCCTGCGTCTTGCATAGGCGCTTCTGGTAAAGTCACTCATTTATACATAAAGGAGTTGGCGCCGGATCGTTGCGTCCTCAGGTGGGGCTCGAATCGTGACTTTTAGAGAAATAGTGTTTTTGTTTGTTTGTTTTGTTTTTTAAAAAACAACCTGGGGTTTAAAGGCCGCGGAATTGGAAGCAGTCGTCACCCGGTGGCCTGAGCGTGCAAGCGCCGAAGCTCTGGCTGGCCATTAGCCTTCCCACTTTCGCTTGAACGCGTGTACTTTGCGCAGTTGCCGACATGGAGACAGGACGCATAAAATATTAATGTCTTAATATTTTAGTAAAACCCAGTGCTCTCTGCCTCTCTAATTATCTTAAGTTATTGTCAGTTCCCATTTGTATTTCTTGCAAACGGTTGAGTATACCCTCACTTTTCAGTATTTTCATGCAGACTCTGATACTCTGGATTAATATTAGTATTTGCCCAAACCATCACGAGCACCTCTAACCCTGATGGGTGATACTTCAGGGTGCTGCGTTCTAGCCACAGAGCAAACAGGGTGCTCTCGGGCACTGCCCTCTGGGATTTCTTGGCTTATTTAATCATTAAGATCATGACCTATGAGCAGGACTGAGTTTCCAGCCAGCACATACACACATCTTCTCCTGGCCAGCATCCATACTGATTAGGCAGTGCCCCTACCATACTAGCTGCTTAATATTTCAGATACCCCACCCCGTGTGTGTGTGTGTGTGTATGTAAATCATGTTGTCACTGCCCTCTTTGTAGCTAATGACAAAATTATCTAAGAGTCTCACTATTAGCCTAGCACTTTATTTATGCCTGTCTCATTTCTGCCCACTTTGGAGCACTCGGCTTCTCTGCTGTCTCTGTTTTCCTCCTGAGCACAGTGAAACATTGCTGTAGCACAGCAGGGCATAGAAGACAGGCTCATGCTCCCCTGGACGCTCAGGCCTTCACCTCTGGCACACTAGGTCTTGTCATTCCATGTCAAGAATGGCTCTTCACTGCTCTCACCCACCCAAGAATGGCTAAAATTAAAAGGACTGACGATACCTAGTTTGTCAAGGATGTCGCAGCTGGAACCTTCATACATTGCTCATAAAATTGATACAACCACATTGGCAAACTGGCAGTATTTACAAAACCTAAACATACGAATATCCCATGACTGACTAATTCCTCACCTCACCCAAGAGAAATGAGAGCTTATGTGTACCAGAAGACATTAACAAAACTACCCACAGCAGCTTTCCTCCTGATGGCCCCAAACTGGAAATGACCCAGATGTCCATCCATAGGAGAAAAGATTTTAAAAAGTAAGTGTGGCATGTTCACAGAGAGGAGATTTTGTGCAACAATGGAAAAGGGCACACAACCACAACCCGCAACAATGTGGATGAAGCGCACAATGAAGTCACTCCAGAATGTACGGAAAATTCCACGTGTGTGATGTTCAAAACCAGGAAAGCAAATCCATCATGACACAGGCTGGGGATGTGAAGGAAACTCCAGCCACCCTGCCCTGTGTTCTGAGTAACAAGGCCTAGATCCCAATCCTTGCTCTGCCTCTTACCAGAGACAGATATCAGACAAGTTGCCTAACTTTTCTGAGCTTTAGTTTTGTGTGTAAAATAATGATAACCATAGAACCAAGTTTGAGAAGATCAGACATGAAAGAGCATGAGAAGTGCTTAAAAACCAGGGACTGGCATGGTAGCTCACATCTGTAATCCCAGCACTTTGGGAGGCCAAGGTGGGAAGATCACTTGAGCCCAGGAGTTCGAGACCAGCCTTGGCAACGTAGTGAGACCTTGTCTCTGCAAAAAATTTAAAAATTAGGCATGGTGGCACATGCCTGTGGTCCCAGCTACTTGGGAAGTTGAGGTGGGAGGATCAGTTAAGCCCGCGGGGCTGAGGATGCAATGAGCCATGATTCTGTCCAGCCTGGGTGACAGGGCCAGACCTTGTCTCAAGAAAAAAAAAAAAAAAAAAAAAAAACTAGACACAGAGTCCAGCACACATCAGTTTGTGACGTGAGCGTGCTTCAGGCTGGAAGTTTGGCCACTACCACTGCCTGTTCTAGGCTTTTGTTTCCAAAACCCCCAAGTAGAGGGAAAGAGGAACAGAATGAGATCTCTGTGAACCCAAGGTAATGGGGACCCAAGTCATGCCTACAGAACCTCCTTGATTCCAGGGAGAGAGTTGCAGGTTCCTCCCAGATCACACCTCCCCGGGCAGCCTATACCCAGACAGAAGCAGGGCTCCTGGGCACAGTTGTGTGGTTTCTTCACCAATCAAGGGTCCCTTGCCAAGAACCCAAGTGAGGCTTGCATTTCCCCCATGCTCAGCTCACCCAGTCATGCACCCCAGCCTGGGCCTTAGCCTGCTCCAAAGGAGCACCATGTGTGAGTTTACACAGGAGCACACTGGGCTAGCAGTGGCCCTGCAGAGAGGCCTGACACCTGAGCAGCAGGAGCTACCCCAGACCAGAGGGGACCATCAACCTGGCTAGACAGGGCAGAGAAGCAGTGGGCCACTGAGGCAAACAGCCTCACTTTCACCTGCTAATGGCTCTTTCCGGCTACGAGAGTTGCTTGACCCATGTGTGGGGACAGCCTTCAGCAGTGACAGGGTGGGGTGAATGTTCCAGCCACTCCACTCTGCAGTCAGGACAACTTCAGGACGTGTTCTGCCCTGGCTCCTGGCATCCCCCGCAGGACGGCTCCAGCCGCCTATGTCCTGACCTTCTTGGTCATGCCTATTGTTCCGCCTCCTGTCTTCCCATTCCACCTCCCCACCCACCACCTATGTTTCCAGATCATCTGCCCAATAAACCACTTGCAGATCCTCATCTCAAGGTCTGTCCCCCACTTAGGGGAACCCAGACAAAGACAGCCTCTGACCATGATGCTGCTGCAGGGAAGGGCTTGTTCTGACTACTACGAAGCTCCATGTCGCCTGCATCTGTGCCACACACCAGCGACCAAAGCCAGGGCTGGTTCAGAGCTGAGAGCAGTGACCCTCTGAGACCTGGTGGGCAGAGGGAGATGTGTGCCAGTCACTGATGCAAGAGTCACTGGCTGGCTGCAGCAGCGTGAGGCTCAGCAAGTGCCAGCAAGATCTTTAGAAGAAAACACCCTGTGTGGATGCCGGGAAATGAGCAGGAAGGAGAGCAGGAGTGGCCCTGCTGAGGTTTCCAGAACACCAGGAGGGCGACAGGTGGCACATTCCCTTCCAGACGCTTACTTTCCGACTCGAGATTTCTTAGAGATGTAAAGCTCCCGTGGAGAGGGAAAAGGATTCGTCATCCACTGAAAATGAAGGCTTAATCCCACAGGGAAGAGCTGTCATTGACCCTCTGTCAGGATTTGAAGAGGCCAGGGGTGGGGGACAGAGTGGAGACACCTCTCTGTGTACCATACAGCTGGTCGCCAAGACAGCATCACATCCTCAGCCAGGCACAGTGACTAACGCCTGTAATCCCAGCACTTTAGGAGGCCAAGGCAGGCAGATCACTTGAGGTCAGGAGTTTGAGATCAGCCTGGCCAACGTGGTGAAACCCTGTCTCTACTAAAAATAACAAAAATTAGCTGGATGTGGTGGCAGGTACCTGTATGCCTGTAATCCCAGCTACTTGGGAGGCTGAGGCAGGAGAATCACTTAAACCCATGAAGCAGAGGTTGCAGTGAGCTGAGACCACACCATTGTACTCCAGGCTGGGCAATACACCAAGACTCAGTCTAGGAAAAAAAAAGGCATCACATCCTTTAGGGGAAAAAAAAAAAGTGAGTTTTCAGCCCCTAAGGCCCTGTGGGTAGACGAGGAGCAAGGAAGACAGACACGTCCTCCAGGAACAGCCACCCTCAGTGCTGCCCCAGCCCCCGTGCAGAGCCACACGGTGACAGTGTGCAAAGCAGGGCCTGGGAGAGGTCCAGCAGACCTTGCACAGTGCTTCCCCCAGAGGTTTGACGGGGGAGGACGCCACTTCCACACATTTGCGCATTTCTCTCTCTCTAGCTTTGCAGACGTTTCCACAGACGCACACAGCACTGCCAAACCAGAAAAGAACTGACACTTTGTCATTTTCTTTCAGGTTGGCTTGTTATACCAGGATAATCTTGCCTAATTCAACCCATGGCAGGCATAGAAAAGGAGTTCTACAAACTCAAGTCTTGGAGATAAAGTAAAAATGTGGTTTTTAAACTGAAACCTAGGCTGGGTGTGGTGGCACACGCCTGTAATCCCAGCTACTTAGGAGGCCGAGGCAGGAGAATCGCTTGAATCTGGGAGGTGGAGGTTGCAGTAAGCCCAGATCGCACCACTGTACTCCAGCCTGGGCGACGGAGCATGACTCCATCTCAAAAAAGTAAAATGAAATGAAACCTAAATAAGAACTGTAATTTTAAAAAATCTTAGGTCTTGGCTGGCTGTGGTGGCTCACGCCTGTAATCCCAGCACTTTGGGAGGCCGAGGCAGGTGGATCACTTGAAGTCAGGTGTTTGACACCAGCCTGGCCAACATGGTGAAACCCTGTCTCTACTAAAAATTTAAAAATTAGCCAGCATGGTGGCACGCATCTATAATCCCAGCTCCTTGGTGTCTGAGGCACGAGGATCACTTGAACCCAGGAGACAGAGGATGCAGTGAGCTGAGATCATGCCATTGCACTCCAGCCTTGGCAACAGAGCGAGACTCTTGTCTCAAAAAAAAAAAAAAAAAGAAAGAAATGAGAATAATAAAAATCTCAGGCCTTTCACTGGAGACACTTTTGGGGTCTTTGAACAGTCCCTTCCCAGGCCGGATCCCAGAGTGATGAGGTCAAGATCACCCAGGAGCCTCTGACTTGTGTGTGTTTGCGTTTTGTGTTCACCGCCCGTTAATTCTCTGTGTCATGTGACCGATGCCCGCACAGACGTTGTTCTGGGCGCCTCTGCTGGTTCCTAGAGGAACCCTTATCCGTTCCGCTAGGGCTTGCTGGCTTCATCATCTCCCCTTATTCTCACAGTCGCTCCAATCGTGACAGTTTGCATGTCTTCCAAGGGCCATCTGGGTCTTCCCTTACTTCATCTTTGTGCCGTCTGCTGAGGCAGACACAGCGTCATCATCCTCCTCTTTGCTGTTACCACAGCAGCATGAAAAGGGGCATAGCCACGCAAAACAGCCACACTCTGAGTTTGCTAATTTCCAGATACCTCTTTTACATGTCATCCTCCCACCCCCATCACATGGCACCGAGGACCCGCGATCTTAGCACGGTCTCTGAAATTACTGGAGTCCCCAATTCCACCCAGAGTTCGTCACTTCCCAGGACTCTCACGACCCCACTTGGGTTCAGACCAGAATGCATGCAGCAGCCATCTCAGTGGGCGTCTCCCACCTCCACCTTCCTTGCCTGAAGACCATTCTCAATGTGGAGCCTCCAGGGGCTCCTGTGGGGCCCAGAGACAGCCACAGTCCTTGCTATGACCCACAGAGCACTGTGAGATCTATGTCTAGCTAATAACAGCACACACATGCACCCAAACAAATGTGCGCACACACATGCATGCTCCCACATCACACATCCGCACACTGATGCACCCTCGCCCTGGTTCCTGCTCTGCCCTCATCTCCTACTGCATTCCTCCTCCTTGTTCCAGCCTCGATGCCCAGTGCTGCTTTCTTACACCACCATGGCCTTGCACCTGCTGCTCCCTCTGCCTGAATTGCTCTTCCCCAAGTGTCTCAGGGCTGCCTCACTGCATCTAGGTCTCTACTGTGTCATCTTCTCAAGGAGGCCTTGACTGAGCTCCCTATTTAAGGTTCACACAATGGGTGTGTCACCAAGAGTAGACTTTGGGCAAAGCAGGTTTAGAGTTTTCAGATGATGGTGGTGGTGGTGATGGTGATGGTGATGGTGATGATCATGATAGGGATGATGGTGGTGAGGATGGTGGTGATGGTGATGATAGTGATGGGATGGTGGTGGCAATTATGGTTGTGGTGATGATGGTGGTGGTGATGATGGTGGTGATGATGATGGTGGTGATGGTGACGATGGTGATGGTGATGATCGTGATAGTGACGATGGTGGTGAGGATGGTGGTGATGGTGATGATAGTGATGTGATGGTGGTGATGGGATGGTGATGACGATGGTGGTGGCGATTATGGTTGTGGTGATGATGATGATGGTGATGGTAGTTAATACTGTGAAAGTTTCTTATGTGCCAGGTACTAGTCTGGATGCTCTCTGTATTTAACTCATTTACTCCTCACAGTAACCTATGAGGCGGGTTACTGTCACCATCTTACAGATGAGGAAACTTTAAAAATTCCCTGTCTTGGGCAAGTGAAACTCACTAACAGACTTTTTTCTTAGTACCCAAACTGTGCTCCTAGGGACACTTGAGAGGCAAGAAGGATTTATTGGGCTGTTGTGAATTTCGGGAAAAGCTCCTGTACTCTCTGCAGAATTGCCCGTCAGTTTCCAGCTCCCCCAAGCTGCTCACGCATGCAGGGGCTTGTCCTGAGTCTCCCAAGCTCCCCACTCTGTCCCTGCACTTTTCCCTTTCACCCTCCAACTCCGTGTGTCTTCAGTCTCCCTTTGCCTCCCCTAATTCAAATTTTCTATCAAGGAATGTGCTAAAAGTCTTGGGGGTTTTTGGGTTTTTGTAGGTTTTGTTTTGTTTTGTGAGTGTCTCGCTGTGTCACCCAGGCTGGAGCGCAGTGATGCAATCATGGCTCACTGCAACCTGGAACTCCTAGGTTCAAGAGATCCTCCCACCTCAGCCTCCCAAGTAGCTGGGACTACAAGCACACTGTGCAAAAGTTTTGAACAGACATGCTGCCAAACATGAATGGCAGCTGAGCACACTAAGAGAGGCTGAACTTTTTTAGTCCCTAGGGAAGTGCAGACTAAACTCAAAATGAGTTTTCACCACACACCTCTCAGAATGGCTGAAATAAAGAACACTGAGGGCCGGGCGCAGTGGCTCACGCCTGCAATCCCAACACTTTAGGAGGCCGAGGTGGGCGGATCACGAGATCAGGAGTTCGAGACCAGCCTGACCAACATGGTGAAACCCCGTCTCTACTAAAACTGCAAAAAATTAGCCGGGTGTGGTGGCTTATGCCTGTAATCCCAGCTACTCAGGAGGCTGAGGCAAGAGAATCACTTGAACCCGGGAGGCAGAGGTTGCATTGAGCTGAGATTGTGCCATTGCACTCCAGCCTGAGCAACAAGAGCAAGACTCCGTCTCAAAAAAAAAAGAATACTGAGTACATCGTAAGGGATGGCAACGATGTGGCACAAGGGGACTCCGTCTGCTCTGGAAAATGTGGCAGTTTCTCTGATGCAGCATGTGCTTACCATGTGACACAGCAGTCCCACTTTTAGCTATTTAAAGGAATGAAAACTTATGTCCACAGAAAAGATCACACAGATGTTTATAGTGATTTTATTCATAAAGTGTCCAACTGGAAACTGCAAATATTCTTTCCGGGGACACAGATCCATTGTGGCGCCTCCACCCTGTGAATCCTGCTCTGCAGTCACACCGCGGATGGATCTCAGGGCATCGGGCCAAAGTCCCACATTGTCAGTGCAGTGCTGCTACCCACAGACGGGCAAACACTGGTCCTTGGGGGATGGGGGAAACACATCTTCCTTTTTTTTTTTTTTTTTTAAGAGACAGGATGTCCCACTGTCACCCAGGCTGGAGTGCAGTGGCACAATCTCAGATGACTGCAACCTCTGCCTCTCAGGTTCAAGCATTTCTCCCACCTCAGTCTCCCAAGTAGCTGGGATTACAGGCGTGCGCCGCCACACCTGGCTAATTTTTGTATTTTTTGGTAGAGACAGAGCTTCACCATGTTGGCCAGACTGGTCTCAAATTCCTGACCTCAAGTGATCCCCCTGCCTCGGCCTTCCAAAATGCTGGGAATACAGGCGTGAGGTACCGCTCGCAGCCCAAATGTTTTTTAAAAGGAAGGAAAAAGGACAGCTCAACCCTTTCTCACTAAAGGGCAAAGGGCTGCTAGCTGGGCGTGTAAAATTGTGCGTTTCCCTGAAGTGTGTTCTCTGGAATCCTCTTCCCCAGAGATGTTGAAATGGAGGTGCTTTGTTTAGTGCGGTGGCGGCAGATAACGGCCACAGGACAGCTGCTCTGGGGGCCTTGGAAACTACAAATGCTCAAACCACCTCCCCAAAAGCCACAGCTCAGCAGGCGGGAACTGGGGTGAGCATCTCTCCCGACAGCTCCCTGGTGATGCCGAGCTTCACACCCACCCAACCCATGGGAGCAATCCGACTTCATGGTAGATGGTGACCCAGTGGCCATTGCCTCTTTGCTTTGCTCAGGAACTGGGTGGAACGTGCCCAGGGAAGGTAGCCCCAGAACTGCAGGGGAGCCATGACACACTCAAGCCTCACGGAAACCCCTTTCCTTGGGCCACAGTTGGTTCCTGGGTGGCATAGGGCCGGCTCTGGCCAGTGCGGAGTCAGCCCCTGCTGAGGTTTCTGGGAATTACAT